CAAATCATAGAACCATAGAAACATAGAATGGTTTGGGTTGGAAGGGACCTCAAAGATCATCTAGTTCCAACCCCCCTGCCATGGGCAGGGACACCTCCCACTAGAGCAGGTTGCTCAAGGCCACATCCAGCCTGGCCTTGAACACTTCCAGGGATGGGGCATCCGCAACTTCCCTGGGCAACCTGTTCCAGTGTCTCACCACCCTCATAGTATAAAATTTCTTTCTGATATCTAATCTGAATCTTTTTTCTTCCAATTTAAAACCGTTTCCCCTTGTCCTATCATTACCCTTCCTGGCAAAGAGTCCCTCCCCAGCTCTTCTATAGGCAGCCTTCAGATATTGAAAGGCCGCTATAAGGTCTCCCCGGAGCCTTCTCTTCTCCAGGCTGACCAGATTCCTCTTCTCCAGGAAAGACCAGATTCCTACTTTCTCTCACAAGGTTATTATTGACAATAAAAGTAATGTTACTTTAAGCTAATTACAGTGTCAAGTACCACCTCTAATATTCAGGACAAGAGCAATGGGCACAAACTGAAAGACAAGAGGTTCCATCTGAATCTTAGGAAATACTTTTTTTACTGTGACAGTGACAGAGTACTGGCACAGATTGCCCAGAGAGGCTGTGAAGTCTCCATCCTTGAACATATTCACAAGCCATCTGGACATGGTCCTGGGCAAACTGTTCTAGGCAACCCTGCTTGAGCAGGGGATTGGATCAGGTGATCTCCAGAGGTGCCTTCCCACCTCAGACATTCCGTGATTCTGAAAAGTAACAGGTAGGAATTGGAGTGAAATAGTTGGACATAGAGCATAATACTGAATCAAAGACAGCACAGACAACTGCAAAAAATAGTTTGCAGCTCATTCTGCTTGTAATTAAGCCTTTTGTCTGACTGGAGTTTGTATCTTGGGGAATTTGGACTAAGTAAAAAGACATTTTTACTTAGTTAATGCTGTGCTAACTCTAAATTTGCTTTTGGGGAGGGATCCTTTATAAAGCAGTAAAATAAGAAGATGCAAACTCTTTGATTTCTTTATAAAAGATTGCCTTTTTGTGTGTGTGTGTAATGTAATGATGGTGCATATACAGCTTTCCTGGCTTCCACTACTTATCCTGTGTATATATAAATTTCTATATTGCAAATCTGAAATAGTAACCTTTTCATACAGATTTACTACTAAAATCCATAACTACTCACTGTTGGCAGAATTTTAAGTGACTATTATTCATTAAATCATAAAATTTATAATGTGCAAGTACTCATAACATGTGGGTGGGTATCTCTCCAGAAAATCAACGTCCAGAACATTTTCTTCGTAACTTGCAAACTCCTGTAGATGGAACAAAGGAAAAAAAAAAAGCCATGCTGTTACTGCATGCTGCTCACTGAAAATTATTTAACTCTTTGATAGCAGTTAGTTTCCTTTGTAGCTATTATCAGCCTTTTAATAGATGCTATTTTTAAACACTGTTTTGTTTGGATGAAATATATTCCATTGTTTTAGTACTGGTTACCTCTGGTGATCTGGGACTGCAGTGTAGCCTGAGAGTTTGAGAGTTCAAAACCACAGAGTTCTCTGAAAAAGAGTTTTGGACAATGTCATGTATTTTCATATTTAATTTGCTCTACCAGAAGTTGTCACCCTTATGGCTTAGGAAAAAAAATGTCCTGGATGCTTTCTAACATCATATATTTATAAATCTTGTCACTTCTAGCTAAAGTGATCTTGGCTTCATATACTGCAATGCAGTGCTATTTAGAAGCAAGGAAAAGTTCTAGGGTAAAACCTAGATGGCCGGTTTAAAACTTTTCTTGGCTTAAAGTAGATGGAGCCCAGTGCTCCAGGGCCTGTATCTGTGGGCTGGGCATTGGGATTTTTTGCATGATGGTCAAACCTTTATTTAAAACATATACATATATATATATATATATATGAAATTCAACATACAAGATTGAAGAGATTCTTCCAGTCCATTAATTCATCCTATTTTCTCACTCTGATGGAAAGCCATACATCATCCTGCCTGACATAATTTTCAATATGACATTTCCAAATGAAACTTGCCTTCAATCAAAATAGTGACTTCAAGATGCAAAGGGATGGACTTGCGATAGTGGTTTCTCCACCCTAAACCTTCTGGTGGGCCTTAGACCCTCTGGCTTGTAGGCAGGCTGTCCCCATTTGTGACATTGTATGAGTGTTCATTTCACTCATTTTGGAGGCTGAAAAAATTTCTGTGTATTACAGCTATGAGATTTTCATGTTTCTTGCTAAATTGTGTCTCAAAGGATTTTGCAACATACTGTAGTTAAAATACTGATAAAAAAGGGCAAGTGGTAGAAGGCAGATGCCATTGCTATAAGGTCTCCCCGGAGCCTTCTCTTCTCCAGGCTGACCAGATTCCTCTTCTCCAGGAAAGACCAGATTCCTACTTTCTCTCACAAGGTTATTATTGACAATAAAAGTAATGTTACTTTAAGCTAATTACAGTGTCAAGTACCACCTCTAATATTCAGGACAAGAGCAATGGGCACAAACTGAAAGACAAGAGGTTCCATCTGAATCTTAGGAAATACTTTTTTTACTGTGACAGTGACAGAGTACTGGCACAGATTGCCCAGAGAGGCTGTGAAGTCTCCATCCTTGAACATATTCACAAGCCATCTGGACATGGTCCTGGGCAAACTGTTCTAGGCAACCCTGCTTGAGCAGGGGATTGGATCAGGTGATCTCCAGAGGTGCCTTCCCACCTCAGACATTCCGTGATTCTGAAAAGTAACAGGTAGGAATTGGAGTGAAATAGTTGGACATAGAGCATAATACTGAATCAAAGACAGCACAGACAACTGCAAAAAATAGTTTGCAGCTCATTCTGCTTGTAATTAAGCCTTTTGTCTGACTGGAGTTTGTATCTTGGGGAATTTGGACTAAGTAAAAAGACATTTTTACTTAGTTAATGCTGTGCTAACTCTAAATTTGCTTTTGGGGAGGGATCCTTTATAAAGCAGTAAAATAAGAAGATGCAAACTCTTTGATTTCTTTATAAAAGATTGCCTTTTTGTGTGTGTGTGTAATGTAATGATGGTGCATATACAGCTTTCCTGGCTTCCACTACTTATCCTGTGTATATATAAATTTCTATATTGCAAATCTGAAATAGTAACCTTTTCATACAGATTTACTACTAAAATCCATAACTACTCACTGTTGGCAGAATTTTAAGTGACTATTATTCATTAAATCATAAAATTTATAATGTGCAAGTACTCATAACATGTGGGTGGGTATCTCTCCAGAAAATCAACGTCCAGAACATTTTCTTCGTAACTTGCAAACTCCTGTAGATGGAACAAAGGAAAAAAAAAAAGCCATGCTGTTACTGCATGCTGCTCACTGAAAATTATTTAACTCTTTGATAGCAGTTAGTTTCCTTTGTAGCTATTATCAGCCTTTTAATAGATGCTATTTTTAAACACTGTTTTGTTTGGATGAAATATATTCCATTGTTTTAGTACTGGTTACCTCTGGTGATCTGGGACTGCAGTGTAGCCTGAGAGTTTGAGAGTTCAAAACCACAGAGTTCTCTGAAAAAGAGTTTTGGACAATGTCATGTATTTTCATATTTAATTTGCTCTACCAGAAGTTGTCACCCTTATGGCTTAGGAAAAAAAATGTCCTGGATGCTTTCTAACATCATATATTTATAAATCTTGTCACTTCTAGCTAAAGTGATCTTGGCTTCATATACTGCAATGCAGTGCTATTTAGAAGCAAGGAAAAGTTCTAGGGTAAAACCTAGATGGCCGGTTTAAAACTTTTCTTGGCTTAAAGTAGATGGAGCCCAGTGCTCCAGGGCCTGTATCTGTGGGCTGGGCATTGGGATTTTTTGCATGATGGTCAAACCTTTATTTAAAACATATACATATATATATATATATATATGAAATTCAACATACAAGATTGAAGAGATTCTTCCAGTCCATTAATTCATCCTATTTTCTCACTCTGATGGAAAGCCATACATCATCCTGCCTGACATAATTTTCAATATGACATTTCCAAATGAAACTTGCCTTCAATCAAAATAGTGACTTCAAGATGCAAAGGGATGGACTTGCGATAGTGGTTTCTCCACCCTAAACCTTCTGGTGGGCCTTAGACCCTCTGGCTTGTAGGCAGGCTGTCCCCATTTGTGACATTGTATGAGTGTTCATTTCACTCATTTTGGAGGCTGAAAAAATTTCTGTGTATTACAGCTATGAGATTTTCATGTTTCTTGCTAAATTGTGTCTCAAAGGATTTTGCAACATACTGTAGTTAAAATACTGATAAAAAAGGGCAAGTGGTAGAAGGCAGATGCCATCAAGAGTGTTTTCCTGCCCAAACCACAAGGCACACAAAGAAGGGTAGGGTTTGCTCTCCTCCCAAGTCCAGCATGAACTCCTTCAGCTATCCAGTAAATTTGTGGCCGTGGTAATCTGCATCTTGATGCTATTCTGAACCATAATTGCTGCTCTGATGCAGGACTTGTGGCATAATGACACAAAACATGGAGATGTTTAGCTTTTACTAGATCAGATCAGTGCCTGTCTCTGAGCTTGGTTTCCTTTGGACACCCTGAAGCTAAGCTCTAATAGATGGCTGAAGATGGTGCACCCAGAAAGGAGGCCAAGTTAAAATCTGGTCTTTGGGACATTTCTCCACACTGATAGAAAGAAACTATTTTTCCTTCACAACAGTACTCCACCGCCTATTTTTTCTCCCTTTTTATTATTTCCTACCTCCCCTTCTGCTTGCAACATCCCTGCAGTAACCCCCTGCTCACACCCTCCCCCTGTGTGAAACTGCAAATGTTTTCTGTCCTAATTTGAGCACAGCGTAGGTACAGTAAATAGTCCTGCCACTGCAGGTTCTCTCTCTTGGTTGAAATGACAACCCTCATCTAATTCTTTTCCCCTAATTCTGTTTTTCCTGCTTTTTCTGTTCTGTTCCTCAGTTCCATCTGCTTCAGCACTACACGCTAATCCTGCCCTTATGTCCTACTTAAAATAAATGAGTACTCTGTAATGCATTAAAAAAATACATTGGTAAAATTAGAGTTCCACATTTAGGTAATAAAAAAATAGGTCTAACTTTCCAGACAGAATTCTTGCCTTGTCTGAGACTGAGCCCAGTTCAGCTCTGGTGGGAGGGACGTGTTTGAGAAAAATAGTATTTTTATGAAAAGTAGAGTAGGAATTGTAATTGTGTTTTTGTAATGAATTAGTAATACTAAGTACTGTTGCTTTGCCCTCATTCAAGCTAAGTATTACTTGCCTTGCTTTTCTCTATGCCTAGTTTGTTCCTGAGAGTAAATATTAAACTATTAGCAGGAATTGTTCAACCATGCACCAGTAATCCTGTGTAGTTTTAAACAGACACGGATTAAAGTAGTAAATAGTACGAGCTGGGATTGTAAAATAGATTTTTACCTCTGGCAGTAACCAGGCAGTATTAGCAGGAGGGTGGTAGTTTGTTTAGGTGGAACTTCACCAGCTAATATAATTTGTGATGATTAGCATGATGAGCTCCAGTGCCAAACAGAGAGTGTGACTTGATTCACTGCTTATGAATCTGTGACTCATTATTACAAAGAATCTCAGAGACGTTAATTGTGATAAATATATGAATGTTCTTAATGATAATAACACTTTATGTATTTGCAAACCAAAGCACACTCTAGCACAATAACAAGGCCTGTGCCAGAAAACCTCATCATTTTGTTCTGGAATGTCAAATGAAGAATTGTTATTACTTCTTATTTTCTGGAATGGATTAGTAGAGCCCTCATAGCAAAATGAATCCAAAACTAAGAGGTTTATGAAATAAGAGCAGATTTTATGTACTACGAAGGCAGTAAGACGGAAAGGACAGGTCTAATTGGGAAAAGACCAAGTGTTGAACTACCTCTGCCACCGAAAGCCCAGTTTCCTTTAGCTGTCCTTCCTCCCCTGTGTGTTACCTTCAAAGCTGCATTCATTTTGCTCAGCGATGCATTAAGATTTTGGTTCTAAAAGTAGAACAAAATCTGTTTGCAGCTGGTGTGTGTTTATAGGTCCCCACACCCGCAAGTGCTGCCTGTGCTTATGCTGATGTTGGTGACTTTCCTCAGGTGTGACCTCCTGGAGGAGTGAGGAGAAGCAGCTGAGGGGAAGGGGCTACCAAATTACTCAAGACAGTACAATCCTAACAAGCATTCTCTGGTAGTTACAAACTACACCTAAAAGGAAGTGGAGCATTTATATGGGGAACACTCTCTTTTCTCTGTCTGGCTTCGTGAATCCGTGAACAGCGAAGGAGAGAGGGAGCTGTGTGAGTGATATTTACAATAAGATTTCTATATAATGCAAACATGCAAATCTTTGCATTTGCTCTTGAATAACATAGATGGAAACATAATTAAAGATAAGGAAGACAGGTCCAGCATTGAGATGAAAAGGGCTTAATTAGAAATCAAATATTTGATGATTCTTTGAGAAACATTAATGCTGGTGTGGGCTATAAGATAACATTTTAAATTAAATGAACATGGAAACAAATGTTATTTTCAGTTTCTTTAATTTTATTCAGATAATTTCAGCTCTAATCATAAGTAGATAACACACAATACTTCTGGCCTAATATGATATTCTTCTTTTGAATGGAGATTTTATGTAAAAATAGTTCTTGCGGTGAGTTTGTGTATATATGTGTACATACACAAAATAATCCAGAATGACTATGTGTGTTTAACTCTTAACTATAGTGTCCCACAGGGCTCTTAAATGCAGGGATACAAAAGGTCCTTCTCAATTCCTTTCCACTGGTGGTAGCAGAATGCCAATAGGTTTCTTTTTCTTTGGGTTGTATATATTGAATGTTGACTATCAATGTGGTTAGTCAATTTGATACATTGCAGTTTAGTAGCAGCAAAATCGATTCAAAAATTATCTCAGTTGGTGACAAAATGTCTAACAAGACATTTTGGGACTACGCTTCCATGGGAATATTCAGCGGGGAGAGAACTGCTGCTTGAGAGAACTGAAAACAATTTCATTGTACTTCTGGAATGGGGCTGACTTTGGTGTGATGTCTCATAATAGGATTACCCTGCTTGGTACTGATGGTAGGTCTTAAGACTAATGGATTTATTTTAGAACTTCCACTTCAGAAAATTAGTCTGATTACTTCATAAATGTTTTCTAAGACAAAGAATTAGAGAAAAAAATTATCTATGGTATCTATTTCCATGGCACAGAAACTCCACAAAGCCAGGCCCCAAAAATGAAAATGATCGTAATGAAGACTTTTAATGGTTAATCAAGCGGGTGGGTACAGAGCAGATTAAAAACATTACAGAAAGTTCTTGGAGGGTTCCTCTCCAGCCCTGTGGCAACATCTTGAAAATCCAGACTTTCCTGTGTCTGAGGAACATCCCCCAGAATCGCATTTCACCATTTTATAAGATGTTCTATACATTTGTTCTCTAACTTCTATATGTTATTCTTCTCATGTAGAACAGAACTAGAGTTGGGTTGGGGGTGTGCATTGTTCTACGCTTATTTGCCAACAGGCTTATATGCTGGCAGCTGGCACAGCACACCACAAACACTGACAAAAGCTGCGTGCTCGGCGGCCAGTGAGTCTTGATAATGATATTTGCAGCCTCTTTGAGGATTGATCCTTCTCCTGTTGAAAATGATCTGATTTTTTTTTCTTTAGAGTTGAAAAGGCCAGTTCTTTTCCTGCTGTTTAGGGTGTGCAGCTAAAAAATACTGAAATACGTAGCTACTAATGAGACTGTCTGAGATCCTAGCTTTGTGTGTTGGTTACAGTTTGATAACTGAGCATGGAAGAAGAGACAATACAGCAGAGCATGCTAATCCTAGCTTGTAGGACATGTTGGGGAAGAGCGGGCCTTGGCAAGTTCAAAATACAGAGATCTGTCCCTACTTGTGTGTGGAGACAGTGCTGCAGAAAACAGAGGTCAGATACGCAGATTTATAGAGGCAAATATTTGAGCAGTGCAGAAAGTGAGAATGGCTTTGGAATGGGAAAGAGAGGAAAAACTAAAAGGTGAACAGAGGTTCTCTGTGCTTTGCTGTGGCCTGGCAGCCTCTTGCAGGTAACACGTCCATTTATCCCTAAAACCCCCTTGGCCACAACTGCTTATCTCATACATGGGGTCTGTTACAGTATTCCTCTAGTGATGGCTACAAATTACTACAGAGAAGATAAGATTGCAGAATTGTTTTTCTTTCCAACAACTGCTGTCGCTGGTTAATTTTTCCATCCATCAATTGTGTGGGAAGAGTATATGGTGGTACGTCTCCAACTCTAGGTTATTTGAGACCAAGAGTTTTCCAACTGCAGGTTTTCCCTGAAGCAATTAACTTCACTCACTGGAATTAATTATATTCTGATGTTACCAAAAAGATGAAAAAAATGAAGGAAATTGAAGTAACAGACAATACAGTCATGATTAGTAGGACCAGAAGGAAATAAATGTATAAAATACATGTAATAGAAACTTATTAGTATGTAGGGAAAACCCTACTGAAAGAGCCTGAGTCAGATTCATTAAATTATGTTAGTGGCTATATTGACACTGAAAAGTGGCAGCATCACGTTAATGTTGTCTGTTACAGAACACTGTATTTCTCCAAATGGATTCAGTTTATATCCTCCCAAAGTGGAAAGTTTTTATTTCTGCACATAAAATACATTTTTAGATTAAATATACTGGAAAAGTGTATTTTTATATGAATAAATACTAACCATTTTAGCTATTTCTCTCACTGCTATGAATTTAAGCAACCAAATAGAAAACGCTGTGCCTTGTCTTTGGGATTCTAAATGTATTTCAATAACTACATTTTTTGAGCCAGCTTGGCTGCTTACACATGTGGAATGACTTCTTAGGGTCAGCTAAAGTTCATTAGTAAGATGTATATGACATTTTAGGAGGGAGAATGGGCTGAATGGGTCTGCCAAAGGAATACATTTAAGGCAAAAGTCCCTGTTTTCTTAGGTGATTTCTCTCAAAGTACTGGATTGTTTCACAATGAAAAAAAAAAAAAAAAAGGCCATTATAATTTTAGCAAAGAGGTAAAAAAAAAAAAAGGCCATTATAATTATAGCGAAGAGCCCAAACTGGAGCAGCAGAGAAGTGCCTCATTGTTAGTGATTCATTTCCCATCTGCTCTGTGCACGGCAGAGGTGAGCCCAGACTACATGGGCACTGATTTTTGAGAGGAAGGTTTGGCAGCTCTGCCTGCTGCCCGGCAGCTCAGCACCCCTCCAGCACCACACCTCAATAAACAGAACGAACTCCACGCAGAACAGCAGAACCAAGAAGCTGCCAAACTGGAGCAGCAGAGAAGTGCCTCATTGTTAGTGATTCATTTCCCATCTGCTCTGTGCACGGCAGAGGTGAGCCCAGACTACATGGGCACTGATTTTTGAGAGGAAGGTTTGGCAGCTCTGCCTGCTGCCCGGCAGCTCAGCACCCCTCCAGCACCACACCTCAATAAACAGAACGAACTCCACACAGAACAGCAGAACCAAGAAGCTGATGTGGCTGTGCCGTCCCCAGTTCAGCGTAGCTAAACCCAAATTGACATTCTATGAACAGTAGTTTAGAAGCTCTGACTACTTTGCTGATGTGGCTGTGCCGTCCCCAGTTCAGCATAGCTAAACCCAAATTGACTTTCTATGAACAGTAGTTTAGAAGCCCTGACTACTTTTGCAAAGGTCTCCGTTTTAACATTAAGATGATACATGAACTTTCCGTAAAGGAATTACCAAATCTTAGTCATAACTCGAATTTGTTAAGTGTAAATTACTATTTGGTTGGTTGACCTCTTCATGTTATCTATCCATTTTTCCTTTGGTCAGATTCCAAGAATAAATTACTTTATAAAACCAGCTTGATCCAGAATGCCTGTCGGTTTTTCTATTAAAAATGCTCATATATTATTTTTCCATGCCACTAACATGCAGGAGA